TATTCAGCGAAGCTTGAACAGGTCACTTGTGAAGACCTGTTAACTCCTGTGACCAAAGTGGCTCGTTTGCACCATTTCGCAGCTCTATAGGACTTTACAGGTGTCACCAAAATGGGAACTTTTAGTTAAAGACACCCCGCGGTCACTTAGTTCGAAGGATTACTTCCTTGCACAAGAAGCCCAATGCGTAATAGCACAAAGTATTCCACTTGGGGGAGGAATTCTACGGTTTGGTTGAGGGTTGCGTCTATCTATGACACGAACTAACAAAAGGAGGTGGCAGAAATGTGAGATGCCTCCTCAAGCCTCAAGTACAGTATCCGATGAAGTATACTCACTCTGACAAGGAATAAAACGAGTAAAGCGAACCACTGTCATTCGTGTAGCACTGCGGAAGAGGATATTTAGGCTTAGGTTGTACATAGGGCGGTGGATCTTGTGATGGCTGATAAGGATCCTCATACTGTCGCTCAGGTAATCGATAGCGCATCGGAACATTTGTGAAGATCTGAAAAAAGTGAGTGGAGGTCGCTGAAGGGAGGACGACCTTCCATGGTGAAGAAATCTTCGTAATTGACCTTACAGTAACCAAACGGGAACTGAGAACGCGAAAAAAAAAAACGTGGAACTCTTGGAGTCTCGTTTTTTCTAGGTCGCTCTTAAAAAAAAAGGGTTTTGTCCAGGGTTTCCCCACCCCGGCTGACCACATGGGTGGGGGTTCGTCCCCATCGTTGCCATTTGTTTGTTGGTTCGCTTTGCTCCTATGAGCAGGCAAACTGAAAAGCGCACAAAGTGGTTGACTATCTTTGCATCATCAGCGGTGGATCTGTGCTTTCAACATTACTTAACGTCCGTGATTTTGCATTGGCAAGAAACTATTCAAAGGTTCATCTGAGCCCATTGTTCAGCTGAGAAAAGCTTGGCAACCTTACCGGCTTCATCAGCTCTTCTTTGATAATGGACTCCTCGTCCCCGCTGCCAGTCACACTCCCTGTTGGCGACACAGAAAACGGTCTCTGATCTGCCAGAACAGGGTTTTCGTATCCTGGAAATGAAATTGACCGTGACTGCGCAGTACCGAAAAACGCCTGTAAGAACCTAAAAAATCACATATTCAGCAGTTTTGTAGGCATTTTGCTGAGATCGAATTCATTGGAGAAGATGAATACACTGAAGCTCCCACTTCCGCGAATTGTTATAGCCCCCTCATGTTATTTTACAGTCTTGCGTACCCCAAAAGTAACGAACTTACTAGGCCCATAGGGATCATCTCGCAGAGGTAAGACAAACGGCTGTCTGACATAAATGGGCCTCCCGAAAACGTACACCTTCGTGACCGGAGTATTATTCGGTGGAAAACTGTACTGCTGACCCTGAAAATCCTCGATAAAGATGGATCTAAGAACTGTTACTGGATTCCCGTAACCTGTGGCTGGACGGATCCATCGGACGTAAGATCATTGTTCACGGCTTGTTTAGGGCTATCATCTGCACTGAGAAGGACCACATTTGCGAGGAGGAATAAGGTAACGCTCCTAATCATGGACTGGCTGATCCTGTAAAATTTAAACTTGTATACTCTGGAAGATTATTGATTAACGGAGATTAACGGATATAAAGGGTAACAACACGAGGAGCTAAGAATTCTGCTCAAAACTTGGATCGGGTACGTTGAGAAGAAGTTGATCCAGTGGATCTGTACCGCACTGATGGTCATTACACTACCCTTATCCCGAGCCAGAGTAGGCGTGGCTTCATGTAACATTGGCACGGAATCTGTTACTCGATGAATATTCCCGTCTGAACCACTGTCATCTCGTATTTTCTGGTGGTTGCACCTAGAGAACCGGCGACACCGTTTTTTGTGTTCCCGTCAAATGTGAATATTCCACCAGAACCATATTGACACCATAAGGTCTAATGTTTAAGAATGCCAGCCCACGCTACCCGATCTCAGTGGTTATAGAGTCCTTACATTCTATAAACCACTAATTCTGTGTGTCGGTTTGTCGGTATGTATGTATGTATGTATGTATGTCCGTCCGCAAAATGCTTCACGGGTTCAAACACGTCAGTGTAGGAGAGTATACGACCGCTAGCCGGTGGCGAAACCAGTTGGTGCAGATGTATCAATCCAATGTTTTGATTGTGATAACACCCTGCACTATATAAGAGAACCATGTAGTGCACTCCAAACCATTGCACGAGCTGCTCGCGTGGCAGGTGGACGTGAGTACGTGCAGCGGCCGGGATGGGGTCTTCAATCCCGTCGGGGACACAGTAATGTGAGTGGTGGCAAGGGAATGGGGCCGGAGGGTATAATGTGGGTGGGTGGGATTAGTGAGGGAGAGTACGGTAGGGGAAGCATAGAGTGCGTTTAGTAGAAACTCATCACAAGTGTGGTAATAAAAGCGCCAATGAAAGCGATAAGGTGAATAGAGGAAGGATCAACCGCTAGCAGAGTCGCGAATAAAATCCATGTTTTGGTATCACTTTGAGGCAATGTGTGATTGTTTACAACCTCACTATGTAAAAGAATCATGTAGTGCACTATAAGTGAGCTACTCGTATGAACGTATTGGTCAAAGATTGTTGACTATCTGTATAAAAGAAAAGCCGGTGAGGAGAAAGATAAGCGCGGCGGAGCCGGGCCCGCTCAGCAAATCCAATTGCGAGTCTTTATCCAGAGGAAAGCGTGTCCAGGCATACAGCGCAAAGCCGACTGGTAAATAGTTAGTAAGCCATCTAAGCCGAGAGCGTTTGTGAAGGAGCGTCGACCCAGAAGGGCAAGTCTTCTCCCATCCATTTGTTGCGAGGTCACCCGGCTGAAAAAAGGCGTCCAGTCCCCGCAAACCCGTTTCTATGTGCCCTATCCTTAAGATAAATGATTGTAGTTTTTCTGGTATCGTAAGCTCTATTGGCTTTCGGGAACGGGCAAAGAGAAACCGTAAACTCCTCCCTCCCCTCGTTGCGCAGCGCGGCGATGGGCGCGACGTTTCCTTAATTTGCACTCCTTTCGATTGAAGCTTCGGATTTCATGTAGACAGGGAACATGGTAGACACTCATGTCTATTTTTGGTCGCAGACTGTCTATTCTCGAACAATACCACCTTGTCAGACTGATCGATGATTTGAAAATCTATAAGTCCCTAACTGCTGAAAGCGATTGTAAGTTACTACAGGACGCCATTGATGCCGTGGCCTGTTGGTCTAAATCATGGGATCTCCCTTTAGCATATGATAAGACCTCAGTCTTGCACTTAGGTTCCTCCCGGATCAACTTCGATTACAATATTGACGGCTCGCAACTCAAAAAGGTAAATGAAGTAAGGGACTTAGGCTTCATCGTCGATCACAAATTGGCGTTCCATTCCCACTGCGTATCGATAGCTAATAGAGCGGAGAAGAGACTGTTCCAGTTATTGAGGAGCTTGCTTACTAAGGATCCACACGTTCTTATAAGAGCTTACAAGACTTATATTCGTCCGCTACTAGAGTATGGTTCTGTTGTATTCTTCCCTATATGAAGAAGACCATTTCCAGACTGGAATCTGTGCAAAATAGTTTCACAAGAAAGGTTTTGACTCGGGCTCTGGGTTTCATTTACAGTTCTATACCAAGAGGTGTCGTAAGAAATAAAATGCTTGCGCTTGATTCTTTATACTGTAGAAGGAGGAAACAGGACTTCATAACCATGTTCAAGATACTTACAGGGAAGTCTGTGGTAAATTTGCGTGATACTCTCACCCTCTGTCCGTCCAACACTCGTGGTGACAAAATTAAACTCTCTTATCCTAGAGCTAAGTCTAATGTTAGAGCCAAGTTTTTCGCTTTGAGGGCTTCATCCGAATTCGTTAAGTTCTCGAAGAAACACAGTATGCCTGGGAACTTAGCTCAGCTAAAAAAGATTCTGCATCAACATTTGACTTGAGGACTACTACGGACTATTCCGATTTCTAAACTGCGTTGACACTTGAGGGAATGGTCAGGTTTCCGAGTTACGTTACCTTACGTTGATTTACCTTTTCATCGAATTTCTTTTAATTATTACATCGAGTTCTGAAGATTGCAAGGTTCATTTTGTCAAGTTAGTTTTTTTTAGTTTGCAGTTGCTTCATGTTGCTCATGTGCCTATGGTGCATGCAATAAATAGTAATACGTAACCACCACCTAAAATCGTTGTCATTAACGGGCGCGACGTCGCACGCGACGACCACTGGCGCGGCGAATTACAATTCTCTTGTCACATACCCCTGGCTTTCGGTGGCTGTAAAAAACTTAAGGCTTTGGCGATCTCAGTTCCCATTTGGGATGTGACACACCTCTACTTCATTCACTCGTGTAATGTAATGAATTCCGCCGTTGATCCTACAGTACCTTGCGGGGGGCAGCCGATGTACAAGTCAGTGCTTTTCCCCACAGACGAGTCTAGTACCTTCCCAAGATGATAGAAGGCTTGGCTGGCATGGCGAAAGCCGATCCAGGATTTGACTCCCAGACCCGTGATCCAGGATTTGACTCCCAGACCGCACGTGGGAAACGGGTCATTCCCACAATAGTAGCGATAAACGTAGAATTCACATGAATGACTATGGGCTTTTTACTGGATTCCCTCTTTTCCTGTGTCTGAACGGAACGATCGGAGACGAGGTCATTGCTCGCGATGGTCTTAGCGCTGTCTTCTGCAATGAAGACAAATGGCACGGTGATTTGGTACTCTGTCTGAAGTGCTAGCAGGGTGCCCTATAGTGGGGAAATGGTCAAAAACCTGCGAAGAAAAGCCTTCGTTCTTAATGACTCAAAAGCAATTTCGGACGAGTTTCCCGTAGGCATCGTGCCAATAACCGCTACGGTAGATACGGCTGCACGTATGTACTCATATATCCATGCAGCACCGCGGCCGCTTCATATCAATCCCTTCGCTTCATATTTACTTCGCAAATGAAGCAATACGAGCATCAGGTACGGTCGTCCATTTGTGGGCGGGTGGGCGGTGGGCGTCCGGGTCGGTATGTTGCAGCTTGATAGGGCCTTATAAGGGTACCTTCCTTGGAAAGGCGCTACGCAGTGCCTGCTCAGGGGAGCGGCTTCCGTCCTGCCAGGCGTATTAATCCTACTCGTCTCAGGAAATTATCGTGCCAACTGCCTTGAAGAGTAAACATATAAGCGAGGAGGAATACGGTAACGCTCCTGATCATAGCTGGTTATGTTGACTAGTTGAGAGACAACTTCCACGCTTACGAGATGAATCTTTCTGGATAATACGATGAAGCCGAAAACGAAACTGGCTAAACAGTTAATTAGACGACATGCACTGGATTGAAACGGATGGCTCAACGTCGTGTTCGCCAAATGATGAAGTTTGCGAAGGAAATAGGATCATAGTGATCAAGGGGTCATCTGGTAGTGATATAGAGAAAGTAATATGCTAGAAGAGGCAGTATATTAGTTGGTTCTAGACTGGTAAGATTAAAGAAAAATCATTATTGTAAATCGTAAACGAAATAACTTGTAAGCGACTGCGTCCACTCACGTAACTGAGTAGCGTCAGCAATGGCCTTCCAGATTACTGCGGAATGTAAATCGGGAAGCTATAATTAGTAAGCAAAGCAAAAGGCAACATTGGGAAAGGAATACACACAGACAAGATCAATCGTTTTGCGCTCGGCATCGCAGACGAACTCATTGACTATTCCAAACCCTCGAGACTCATCAGTGGGACAGGTTTGACCGACATGCAGGACATGGACTACATAGGGGGAGGTGATTGGAAAATAGATAAACGAGAAGAGAGAAATGTTAAAAGTTAGGGGGGGTCACATGCAAACTAATATACAAATACACAGCGCAAATCCTAGAGGGAACTGACCGAGTGATTACCCGTTTCTCCCTCGCCTCGGCAGGAAAAGTTTCTGTGAAATCCTAAATACTAATCCTTGCGAACGCCTCGTCGTTAATCTTTGAGAATTTGCGTTAAGAAATCTATCAAAAGGAAAGCTAAGAAAGTTTCCTGTGATTCTGCACAATAACATCAGACACCTAGGAGTATGCTCCGCGAACCATAGCCGTGTCATTCGTGTCAGTTCTTATCCGTCCTTCGTCGGAAATCTCATCCACCGTCCTGATTTTTTTCTCATTCTCTCCGTGCTCTTATCTCTCCATGTTCAACAGCATGTCGCAGACGCAGATGCCGACAGGCTCGGGTGTCCTTTCACCGTCAATTCCTGCTCTCCAACTAGTTCCTCCCCTTTATAACGTTTCAACGACGCCGAAAATGAAAGCAGCAAAAATGTCTTGGTGAGTGTGTGGAGTAGCGCGCCGAGAAGTGGAGCAATAGCGCCATATGGCGCCTGGAAGGATAAATGAGGACAGTGAAGTGGAGAAGTAGCGAAATAGAGCCACGAATATGGTTGAATAGCTCCCAGCGAGTCCTTTTTCACGTAAATCGCAAAACCATCGCTCCAAATAGCATACCAAACACCTAAGAATCCTTTACTCCACACTTCGCTGCATAGACCTTCTATTTAGGATCGGGATTATGGC